ATTGTGCATTCTGAACTGGACCTATTAGGTGATCTTAATCATCCCTAATTCTAACATGTTCCTCTTAAAGTTTTCTCTACTCAGTGCACTAGTGAAGATGTCAGCAATTTGTTTATCAGTAGCACAGAATTCTATAGAGATCAATCCTTTCTCATAGTTATCTCTTAAGAAGTGGTGCCTAACATCTATGTTCTTAGTCCTCTTATGATGAACAGGGTTCTTTGTCATACTTATAGCACTAGTGTTATCACAGAATATAGGAATGCAACCAACTTCAATGCCAAAATCTACCAGATGCTGTTTGATCCATAGCAATTGAGCACAACAAGAAGCAGCAGCAACATACTCAGCTTCAGCAGTAGATAAGGCCACTGAATTTTGCTTTTTAGTAGCCCATGACACAAGAAATGAACCAAGGAAGTGTGCCATACCTGAGGTGCTCTTCTTATCCACTAGGAAACCTGCATAATCAGCATCAACATATCCTACTAGATTGAAATTACTACCTTTGGGGTACCAAAGACACACATCAGTGGTGCCTTTCAAATATCTTAGTATCCTCTTGACAGCAGTCAAGTGAGACTCTTTTGGATTGGCCTAAAAACGAGCACAAAGCCCTACACTGAAAACAATGTCAGGTCTACTGGCAGTAAGATACAAGAGTGAACCAATCATACCCCTGTACAACTTTTGATCAACTGATGAACCAGGTTCATCAATGTCTAATTTAGTGGCAGTAATACCACATATAAGACCTGTACCGGGCGCCGGAACCAAAATACGGGCCCGATACTAACACGTTATAATTCATTTTCACTTCAAATTTCTTTAAAAATTTCAGAAAAACAATTTCTTTTAAACATTTATTTCTCGGGCTCGGGACCTCGGATTTCGATTCTGGGCATACGCCCGAGTCCCATATATTTCTACGGACCCTCCGGGACCGTCAAATCACGGGTCCGGGTCCGGGTCCGTTTACCCAAAATATTGACCAAAGTCAACTTTAATCATATTAATATCAAAATTCATCAATTTTTACACAGAATTCATATTTAAACTTTCCGGCTACGCGCCCGGACTGCGCACGCAAATCGAGGCGACTAAAAGTGAGGTTTTCAAGGCCTCAGAAGCGCGAAAAAGAGAGAAAACAGGTGATGACCCTTTGGGTCGTCACATCCTTTTATTTTAATTTCATGTATTATGCTAATGTAATAATATTGTTCGGTATTTAGATGATTATTGTATTATTATATATAAAACTCTTTCATTAATTAAATTGTATTGTTCCTTCATATAAATAAATATTTAAATCATCATGTGCCATTATTAACGTGCAACGCACGTTCATAGATACTAGTTATATTAAAAGTGGGAAGCCCTTAAGTCAAAAGTTAAATTACTAAAATACCCATTAAAATTTGAAGACTATTTTATCCTTTACGCTCAATTCAATTCCTTCAAAAGGATTGCTAGACAAGTGAATAATTTAAACAGAAAAGAGAATACACAATAGTAATAACCCCAAACTTGAACACAAGAAATAGATATTGTATTAGGATCAACTTAAAGTAAGGCGATGTACAGAGTTCAAATAAAACATAAGCATGCATGGCCAAAGTCGAAGCAATAAGTCTTTCTTGAAATATATATTTAATAATTATATTTAAACAAAAATAAAATATTAATTTGAAGTGTCTTTTCAAGAAGGTTGTGTCCTTTGAATGTAACGCTACTAACAAGTCTCGATTAAAGTAGGATAATGGAATTATATGTTGCTTCAAAATTTGCAAACCTTCCCCCCCCCCCCCCCCTAAAAAAAAAAAAAAAAAACAGGAAGTGAAACGTCACACTATTGACTTCAATTCAATGGCTTTGTCATTTTGAAAGGCTAAAGTGATAGAAACTGAATTTCATCAGATGGTGGTGTTAGTGTGAATCTTGCTACAATCTGTTTCAAGCAATGGCTAAACTTTGGAGGATTTCCCAGTAAATTGGCCAAAGGATGTGACTGATGATGATCATCCTTCTTTCTGGTGATTTATATATTTTGACTATGACAAAAGAATTTTGCGGAAAAAAATAAAGGATAATCACGGATGATACAAGCAGCCCTTAGTTTGAAGAGGCAGAAAGTCAAGAAATTAATTTTGAATGCACAATGCTATGAGAATTTTTCAAAGCAGAAGCAAAGTGGATGAAGTTACGTTGTTTGGTTCTCAAATTTTTTAACCAGCGCACCAGTATGTTTGTAGTGGCAGTTATATGGCTTCAAAAATTATTGTTAACTTGGTTCATGACAATTAAAGATTGCAGTATCTGATGAGTATTAAGTTGGCAATATAACAGGATTCTACTTTCTTAACCCTATTATATTTTTACTTCTACCCTTTTAATTTACTTAAATCCTGCTTCTATGATTTAAAGGGTAAGGTATGTTTTAAAGTGACAATATCATACTGCTTTAAATACATAATTAGGAATAATATATGTTTACAATTTAATTTGCTATTCCTATTGCTGAACGAATAAAAACTTTGACATATAAATTAGCCTTATAGGACAAGTATATTAAATTTAAAGTCCTTAACATTATGTCTTTTTGTCAAGTAAGGAATGTTTTAATAACTAATTGATTAAAAAGTCCTAAATATTAGAAATATAATTAAATTACAAATTTGACCAATGTGAAATCTACTTTTAAAGGGTAAAAAAGACGAACGACATTTCGCTAAGGGCCTTCGTGCTTTTAATATAGTATAGATATAGATTTTTGCGCTTTGTATCATAAAATGTGAAATTATTAACTGACATATCACCTGCCATTTGATAAAAAGAATATGGTGTTGGGCATTTCAGCGAGATGACTTGCATTGTGTTAGCTTTCAATAAGAAAATATATCATGAGAAAGATTGCAAATTAAACATTCCTCCTAATTGAGTAAATAATAAGTGTGGCTTGGACTGCTTTCTAGGTGCTATATTAATTTATATGCACTATACTTTATGTTTCATGTACAATTATATACTTAAAGTTTTATTTTAATAATAATATTGATATTATTATATAAAAAGTGTATTATAGTAGTAAAAAAATGTTTTATTTGACAAGTATATATTTCTGGAAGGAGAGGTAAGAACGGGTGTCCTGTTGTGGGCAAAATTGGATTTTGATTTTGTCCTCAGAAATCCAAATCCCCCCATAAGAGGGTTAGTTGGATTTTGACATTTTGTCTCCGAAATCCGAATCCGCCCGTAAGTGGGATTTGTTTCTACCGAATATATTTAAGGTTGGGTGAGGTGAGTATTCTTTATTTTCCAGTTCCACGTTTCCAAAGTACAAAAGATGGCTGATTGGTCGGAACTTCAGTATGATATGTTGGTTCTCATCGGCAAACGTATAAATATGATCGAAGACTACTTAAATTTCGCCTCTGTCTGCAAATCCTGGCGACTTGCGGCCACCAAGAACAATTTTAACAGTGATATGCCTAGAGTTCCATGGCTGATGTTAGCCGAGGAAGAAGATAGCGAATGCAATTCATGTCGACAGTTCTTTAGCCTTTATAATGGCATGATTCTGAAGAAGAGGATACCCAAAGCCAAAGAAAAGCGGTGTATGGAGTCCATGGGATGGCTTATTACGGTAGGAAAAGACGAGGGTGAAATCAATCTGCTACATCCCTTCTCCGGTGTTCAGATTGAATTGCCCCATCAAAATACTACTGAAGATTATGATACCCTCCACCAGCTTAGGGATCTATGGACCTATTTTCACAAGGCAGTTTTGTCAGCCAGTCCTTCTCAAACATCAGACTACGTTCTCATGGTTATTGAGGGAAATATGAAGTTCCTCAGTTTCTGGAGGCCAGGAGACTTGAGATGGACCAGGATTGAAAAACAACCCCTTCACGTTCCACATCGTGATGTGATTTATTTTAACGGCAAATTTTATGCTGTTGATGGGTGGGGTCGCATTCTAGTTTGTGATGTTACTATTCCTGACCCAATTCAGACACAAATAGTTGCATCGCTACCGTACGAAGACATTAGAGACGAGTTATACATTGTAGAATCACTAGGATCACTGTTTATAGTTGTGCGCTATGGTGGTATGTTAAGATACGTTACAGATGATAGTGAGAGGATTCCACTGACGCGCATTCAAGATGATGATCAAGCGATAATTTATGACGAAGAGTATGATGATGATGAGGAGAAGGAGGATGAGGAGTTAACTTATGGGACAACAAATTTTCGAGTTTTTGAGTTGGATTTAGTTACTTGCAAACTGAAGCAAACCAAGGAATTAGGGGACAGAGCTCTTTTTATTGGACATAATGCCTCTCGTTCTGTCCAAGCTTCACAATTTCCTGGAATCAAGCCAAATCACATTTATTTTACCGATGATTATTGGGAATCATACCTCGCCTTTGAAGAAGGAGGCGGCTTGGACATGGGTGTTTTCAGCTTAGTTGATGGCACCATCATCCCTCTCCCACACTACCAGGGTGTCTCCTTAAGTCCTGTTTGTCCTCCAACTTGGGTCACACCAACTCTATATTGATTTAGACCCCTTCATTGTGTATACTATATTACTTATTGTTATTGTTTTTCCTTTCCATCTTATGTAATTACAATTATGTTATCGTTTGCTTTCAAATTATAGGTTTGGAATCGTTTTTATGCACTAAATCCCTTTTCTGAGTTTTCTCCTTGAGCTGTCTGCCTGGATTTATAGTAAGTAAGTATGAAACAAAATAATGTGTCTTGTCCAACATTGAAAGGAGGTCCTAGTTTGAGTTGAAATTGGTTAATAGGAAAAAACTAACCAGAGATATGGAAGAAAAGCAACTCGCTTGGCCTAATAACCATAGCCAAAAGACTCAAAATCTTGAGCACTAGGAAATACCTAGTGTTCCAGCCCTACTGGATCCTAATCTATTTATGCCGTATCAAACTGATGTTATTTTATAATCCATGGGTGACAACTAACAACTATATTAGTTATGCACAAGTTCACAGACAGAGTAGGATAAGTGGCTAGATGTCAACATTTCTTGCTTGAGGTCTTTTTGTTGACACTGCTCTACACACGAATTTGACATGATCCAATATGCAAGTCTCAAGGTCCCTTCAACAGATTTAGTCTCTTGGTCAAAGATCTTGTAGTCTTTCACTCCAATGAGAAAGCCAGTCACTTGAGCATTCAAGACCCTGCAAATAATGGAAAAATTACTAACCGATAATATATGCTTTTCCTGAGCCAAGGTATATCGGAAATGTTCTCTCTAGCTTCATGAGGTAGAGGTAAGGCTGCATACACACTATCCTCCCTAGACCACACATGTGGGAGCTGTGTTGTTGTATAATACTTTAAACCTCGAAATAATTATGTTAATTCTTTTTCTTATTTTATTTTAGCCTTTAGGGATACTTAACTAATGTTGTTGTATTTCTTTCTAATAAAGATTGGTGATCGTAATATTATGGACTAATATTGGTGCAGCGTATAGTTATATAATTCAACAGGAGTTGAACAAACACTACAAACTTGACAGGAATGTTCTACAGGAGTTGAACAAACACTATAAACCTAAAAATATTGCATTCTCACAGTCGCAGCTGCTAAAATGCACAAGTCCAATGTTGTGACAGTTGAAACTGTTAGGATTGAATCAGCTACACAACATCATATGCTAATTGCAAGGTATTATTTATTTGGAACCAAATATCCACTCTTGAATGTTGTCTGGTTTGCAAATAATATATTTATTTACCTACACAACAGCATCATACTATTAGATGCATGTGTGTCATATTTTTTATATCATATATGGGAGAATTATTTACATTTTATACTACTTACACATTGGCAAATGGTGATGCATTTTTTCTGTTGTGTTTAATCTTCTACTTAGTTTTCTTCTTAGTAGTTCTTCACCAAAATATACCTGTACATTTATAAAATAACTGTCGGTGCTCACCAAAGTGATGTGTGAAGAACAACAAAGAATAAAAATTTGAAATTAAATAGTAAGGAATATGCAAGTAGAGAAGGCTACTTTTACATAAATGGCATAGCTTTGAGCAAGGACATCTTTTAATGATCTTCACACGACTCACGCAAAATAGGGAGGTCGGGAAGGCTTTGTTATTAATTCAATACGCAAATTTATTGTAACAAACCATGTTAACAATTCAATTATCCGTCAAGAAATATAGAATGTATGACTAAGGTAAACACCGTAGTTCATGCTTTTATTACCTTATCTATTCCAAGGGTAGCATACTGTTGTGAACCATTGCAAGAACCATCCTACAAATTATGACAGGAAATACAACAAAAGTACATGGGACAAATCCTACGCATAAACTCAAATTAACACAAAGATAAGTACTTATGCAGTAATTTGTCTCAAAGCCATAAACAAAAAAATATTCCGGATGCAACCTTTGTTATATAAATTACATGTATTAGCAACTTTCATCCACTTATATTCAATGACTCTGAGAAGAGACCACAAAAGTGGAATGCTTTTGTTTGAATTTTGTCATTAGTCTGAGGAACGACTAATAAAATCTGTCAGCTCGTAGAAATCAGCTAACTTGTTCTGGATTCAACCCCAAAGATTGAAATACATAACCAATCAATTGGCGAGGAACGCAGTATGCAAAGTCCTGAGTAAAATATTCGAATATCATGCTAGAAAACTAATTTACTCGGAACCAAATACGTTAGCAACTTCCACATAAGATCACGTGCTCCCTTATAATCCTTTCTAACACGCTTTTCATAACTCAAAGAAATGACATCAAATAAACATTTTCTAATTAGAGCTGAACACCAACAAAAAATTTAAATGTGTACGACTAATAATAAGACCTACATGGTGCATTAGATTAGAATATGAAGAATAGTCGTATTTGGAGATGAGCTACTGATAGCTTAATTAAAACTAATGCAACCAGGTAGTTAAACGATCTTCTACATTCAACCAACAGGACTTCCTTCGAGCAGTTTTTCAGACAGAATCAACTAACCCATTCAAATAATTCAGTAAAAACTATTCCACCTTCAACTAATAATTTGTCCACATACCAACAAATATACTTGCAATTTAAGTGTATCTTCAAACTGACCTTTGCAAACTCTAGGACACCCCAATAGTTTTTAGAACCAAGAAATTTTAATTGGATGCATGGAGTATGCATGACCTCGATAATCAAGGTTGTGCGGGTAGAAGAAACCTTATGCATATTTCATTTTATGCACTACTGGAGAAGCAAACCTTAGAAGGAAATTCCAACATATACAAAAATGATATGAGTTGTGATTACAACTCCGCCCCAATAAAATTTTATATATGCTTTCAGATGTTATTGGAAGTATTATTATCTTAAAAGACAGTATAGGAAAGCAATTGGAACCTACAAGAAGTTTGAGCTCGACGTCACAATGTTGTGAGAAGTTTATCTAGTCTCCTCTTGACAGATTTTGGTATCCAATTCCACTTCGCGAGTAGTGCATCATCTTCTATATCTGGTTCTTTTGGCAAAGGACCTGCAAATGACAGAAACTACGACAATTGTAGTTTGTTGCTTGAACCATTACACAACTTATTAGATTCATTTACTTAGCAATGAAAAAGAAAGTACCTTTTGAATCTTAATAGGATAGTTAATGTGTAAAGTAACTAACCAATCAGTAGACGACCACCACTATCCCATATTCTATCAAAAACAGAAACTACCCTTTTGTTTATCCTCCATTTGCTACATCCCAGAGTATCAAGAGCCTAGATACGACAAAAAGAACAAATATCTCAATTTTCATGATAGGAACAAACAAAGCAAACAAAATCGCTAGATTTAAGATTGAATTTAATAATTGATTCATGAACTTCAAAAACTGGTTGTAACCATTTTCTAGGGCCTCTTTTCACCGCTTTACGTTGTTTTCTTGCTTGCTTAATATCTGTGCCTATCAAATATTTTGTGCTGTATGAATTACTCAAATTTGACATTTCCAGGTTGATAGCCATTTAATTGACTTGCTTTTGCACAAAACGGTAAACCATTTCTATTAAGAGCACAATTGACCATGAATTCCATTACATGGGTCGAATGTCAAGGTTTTAACTTAATTCCTTTTTATTGAGAAGAAGTAATCTAAAATGCTTGGAAAACTCCCTTCCTATGAGTCTAACATAAAGAGAGTGGAAAGAACTGGCAAGAATTTAAAACCAAGGCCAAAATTGAAAATCACATGTAACTTAGAATACCTCATCTGCTCACCTTTGTCTTCAACTGCTTACAACTGGGATACATCCAAATTGAATTGATCAGAAAGATTCCAGCTAGTTAACCATCGACAATATTAAAGTTGGCAGAGACTTCCAAACGGCATGTTGCGTGGAGATAGCTAAGCCATGTTTCTAGTAATATATCCAAAAATCAGGAATTTTAAAGAGGATAGAACGCTGAATAAATCGGTGACCACTAATTGACAAAAAGAACAATTGCTTACCTAAACCTCAACTTATAGGATTTTTATGTCAAGTCTACCACTTGATTCTACTTAATCCTACAAATCAGAAAAAATCATAACAGTTGAAGGAGAGATGAAAGAAAGAGGAGAAAATAAAAAGAATAGTGGCAAAACACGGAGATTTAGAAAGAACACGAAGACGTCGGAGGAGGAGGAAAATTAATAGACACGTAAGTACAATTATATTGGCTAATAGGTGAATAGACGCAAATACCCTCAGCTTCAATTTTATTGGCTTGAAGCAGCAAGGTCGAAACCCTAGCTCTTCTATAATATACTAATTAGTTATCAATTTATAATAATTTAACAATTTTATTTTAAAGAAAATATGTAGTTTAAATACATAATTTTAAATAATATTTAATATTTCTTATATATACATATGTATTAAAGTTTACTTCTACATATTGAAATTAAAAAAGAGTTTATTTAATTTTTTTATAATCAATTTGAATTCTTAAAATTTAAAAATATATTTGATAGTGAAATTACACTTGTTCAACCAAACATGATGTGTAATTATGTCACGACCCGGATTTCCCACCCTCGGGTATTTAACCAAAAAATAGAATTTTGACTAAAGCTATAATTTACAAGAACACGAGTTACTGATAATCACAAGAATGTATAAAAGAAAGCACTTTGGATAGCTAGAATGTAATTAAGAAAACTAAGTAAACCCCAGTATATTCAGATAGTGTTTCGTGTCCTTACAATTGATCAATTATCTCCTTTTTATAGTTACTATGGAGATATGCGTTTTGCCTTTGTCATAATGAGGCAATTATGGCAATTAAAGACATTAAATGCTACGTTACACAATCATTATACAAATTCCCTAACGTTTTCAATATTTAATACTCATCAAATATTGTATCTGCACTCTCATATAGTGTCAGATTTATTCTCCGTAATTCTCGGATCTAAATGAATTTAAATAGGCAAGGGCGCTAAGTCCTTTGAATGGCTGCTCGTGCCTTTTTCCATGTTTCTGCTCGTATCTATTGTAGCTCATACTTTCTTGCCAATCGTAACTCTTTGACCGATCCAGGTGTCACGACACGTCATCTTTATATGTAAATTCAATTTTTTCCAATACAGATAGTCCCCCCACTTGCCATTTATTCACCGATTGAATATTTGGGAAGTGAAATTTCATTTAAGAGGGAATTTTTGTCACCATTAATGCTGTGACAAGATCGACGTTCCAGTTGTCACTTCTAATTAATGTTCTTGACACGTGTCAACCTTTCATTAATTCTGCGATTCTGCAGCATTTAACGGCTTTTTTACGGTTTCGCTGTACATGAAGCGCCAGTTGTAATTATGACTCTTCCATCATTACACCCTTTTCTTTGACGGTTGCTTTCGAGTATAAATATAACTTCCTTCTTTGTCTTTACTTCATAAATTTTTCTGAATATCCAATTTCTCAAACCTTTTTTGCTTCTTCTTCATATCACCATGTCTTCATCAAACCCTAACCCTAACAAGGTTTTCATAGTTGATAGCTTCCTCAATGTCCCCAGTAGGAGCAGAAGAGGAGGTAGACTCCGTAACCTAGGATCTTCTTCTGCACGCGGTTCTTCTGTTCCTTCTCCTAGTTCTGGTCCCTCTTCTAGAACTAGAGGTTCTGTCTCTCAAAGGTCCTCTTCTAGGGGTAAGGATTCTTCCGAACCTCTTCGTGAACTATTAGTAGAAGAGACAGTCCCTGCAGAATTATCTTTTTATAACGATAGGGTGTCACTTAGAAACCAGGTTGCTTCTTTAGATCGGGCTGATCCTTATCGTACCCAAATTATAGAAGGTTTGATTCCTTTAGTTCGTAGAGATTGTCATTGGAGTAGTGATTCCCTATTATTATTCCCAGTCCAAACCAAAGAATTACCTCTTACATAACTGGGTATTCTTTTGTCTATACATACCCTTTCACCTTAGGGTTTCAACCGGCTATTGACCCTGTTATTCTTGAGTTCTGTTGCTTCTTCGATGTCTGCTTGGGTCAAATCGGCCTAATCATATGGAGGGTTATTGCCTGCTTGAGGCATCTGACTAATACAGCTAGGGTTCCTTTCACTTTTCCGCACTTGATTCATCTTTACGCCCCCAGACTCTTTCGCAATGGTGGGGGTTTTTACACTAGTAGCCAAGAGCAAGAGGGTTTTGATAAGCCCTGAAGATGATAAAGACCGTGGCTGGTACGCCAGGTTTGTTGCTGCCCCCACCCTTGGTTTAGTGGGTGAACAAAACATTCCCTTTCCTGAGAAGTGGAACTTTTCACGTGAGTACTTTAGCTCTCTCGTACCTTTTCTTTCAACATATTAATTTTTCTAATTCTATTTTCTTTTTCCAGCAATGATGGGAGTTGTGGACGAGGTTCCCAATTTTCGTGATTGGGTAGATAAGTTATTGAAGACCGCATCAATGGATGGTAGGTCTTGGAAGACCCTTTCTAACCGATTCGGTTGGAAAGTAAAAACTCATGGTAAGAGTTTTCATTTTACCTTTCATACATTTGCTGTATTTATTTATTTTTTATATTGCACTGATCTCAATCCCTCTTTTTATCAGGATTTGCTGTTTGAGGAGTTACTGCAGAGTCGATCGTAGCTTCTCGCATCTCTTTGGAAAGGGCCCAAGAAATAGTCTCGGGTCCTTCATCGAAAAGAAAAGCCATTGCTGATCGGGACTCTGATGAACAAGAAGATGGGGATGCCCTAATAGCAAGGCCACGAGCCAGGAGACGCATTGTGTCTGAAGATGAAGCGAAAACATCCCCCCTCAGTTCTTCCCCTCTTACTGAGCCTATTGAGACTCCAGTTGTAGTTCTTGATGAGGACGTTGCTCTGCTCACGACTCTGTTGAGCAGCTTTTTGTTAGTGGGTTTGGCAATGAGAACTTAGGCCCGGTTTCTGATGAGACTCCCCTGGCTTCTTATTCTACTCATGTGTCAGTGATTCCTTCCTTGCCGGTCTCGACTGTTCCTACTCCTCCCCAAGCTGCTGTTTTTACTACTTCCACCGTGCCTCCTTCAATAACTCTTCCTCTACTTTCTCACCATGTGGAGGTTGGTTCCTCCAGTGGAGGTGGTGCCATGAGGCAGGTGATCATTGAAGTCCCCGCTGAGGGTAATCTTTTAAGAAAATCGGGTCAAGCGGACGTGTGGCTAAAGCCTTTAATTGGTCTGGTTGAGAAGGCTAAGTTGGAGAGCCACAGTTCCTTGACCCTAATGAACGATATCGTGCATTGTACTTTGAAGGTATTTTCCTTTTCTTTCTCCTGTCATTTTCTTTATCTTTAAGATTCTTATTTCCCTTTCTTTCTTTTTATGTTAATCTCATCAGCACAGAAATGATAAAAAGGGTTACCCTCACAGAACAGTTAATGCGGGATTATCAATTAGAGGCATTCAATTGGAAGGAGCAGTTCGAGAGTCTTCAGATTGACATGGACTATTTAGAGGAAAGCAAGAGTACCTTGGAGCAGCAGGTACGGGCATTAACTTCGGAGTTGGGAGTTTTAAAAGCTTCCTCAAGTCAGGCGGAGAAAGAAAAAGCGCGTCTCGAATCTTCCTTTTCTAAGCAGTTGTCCAAGGCTAGTGAAGAAATTAGAGGATTGAAGGTTCTTTTGGATGAAAAAGAAGTTTATGCTGGAGAGCTCGTACAGAATTTGACTCAAGCACAAGAAGACCTTCGAATTTCTTCTGATAAGGTTCGTACCTTGGAGACTTCCCATGTCTCTCTTCAAGCTTCTCACACAACTGTCTTGGCTGAAAATGAGAGGTTGCATGATGACATTGCTGCTTGGAAGAGGGATTATGAGATCCTCGAGGACAAGTCTACCATGGAGGTAAGTTGGGCGTTTCTAAATTCTCGCCGAGATACTCTTGTTGAAGCCAGCAAGGAGAATTTTAACTTGGAGTCTGAGTTAGCAAAAATAAATGAAGCTATTGAGAAAGCTCAGCAAACTCAAGATTTTCCTTCTCCTGTGATCGAAGCTCCCGTGAATGTTGAAGTTGATACGGGTATCCCAACTCTTCCAAGCCCAGTCGAGCCTGTTGCTGTGAGTCAAGTTCAACCCGCAACTGTTGATGCACCTGCCCAAGTTGAGCTCGTTGCCGTTGATACTCCTTCTACAGTTCCCTCATCTTCTTAGTGATAAGTTTAAACTATTTGAATTCTCTTTTCTTTTGCAGGTACCGTTTTGGAAGGTTATTTTTAAAACCCTTGGTTTTGTTTGAGGGTTTATTTTGGAAACTCAAGTCTCCGGACCTTTCATGGGGCAATTGTATAAACAATTTGAAGTTTTATGACTAAGTTTTACTTAGTTTTAAGCTTTTTAGTATTTAAGAAGTTTTCTCGTTATTATCTTGAACTTCTATTTAATTTATTCTCGCCTTTATTTCTAAGGACATATAGAATAATGTGCATTTTTATTCTTTAGAAAATGCTTCTGTTAACTTCATGAATAAGTAATGTAAACATGAATTTTATAAAAGAGGGCCCTTTTATATTTCGACACTTAATGAAGAAGACGTCTCAACTTCATAATGGAGTTAACATACAATGAGAGAAATAGGAACACACATGTTTCTTTTGAAATAACATTGACAAGTTTTTATTTAAACTTTGTCTATTTTTGATTAATACTTTACATGTATTTGAATTACATCTATAACTTTCTCGTAACTGTTTTTCTTGTAACAGATTTTTAAGAAAAAATTATAAACACGAGGTTTTTCTTTATAACCTGTTTCAGAATAATAAACACGAGGTTTTTCTTTATAACCCGCTTTAGTACAAAGCTTTTACCCTAACTATAGTAAGGTTTTCTTTGGCCTTTAGTACAAAGCTTTTACCCTAACTATAGTAAGGTTTTCTTTGGCCTTGGCTCGTGACTTCGTGACTTTTACTCTGCAGTTGACTTTTTCAGGCTTGATTTTTCCTCAATCTTCTTTGCCTTTTTTATACACATACCCGTGTATATTATGTAGTCCCCCAAGTGTTTGAGCGTTGAAGTATGAAATCTTGAGCACTTGATTGTTTCTGTCATTTGGTCCTTTTCCTGAAAAGGAAAACATACGAGATTCGGAGGTGCAATTATAGATGAAGACTGCTTAACCCGTTTGTATTTCTATT